CCCTGGGTAGAGTGCCGTGGCATCACAGCTCACAGCAACCTCCAACTCCTGGGCTCAAGTGAGTCTCCTGCCTCAGCCTCCCAAGCAGCTGGGACCACAGGTGCGCGCCACAACACCCGGCTGTTTTTTGGTTGCAGCTGTCATTGTTGTTTTGGCGGGCCCAGGCTGGATTTGAACCTGCCACCTTAGGTGTATGTGGCTGGCACCGAGCTCATGCTAGTCTTTAACTAAAAACTTTTTGGAGCACTGTCTGGGTTGATACATATACAGTACTTGTAGTCTATGAGTTATTCTGCTTTGAACTGTATAGATTAAATATAGTGTTATGTTTGAACAGGATCTTTGAATTTTTATCCAAAATTCAGGCAATCCAGCCACTTTGTCCTCCCAGAGGGCCAATATTAAACTTCTTAGCTTTGCCACACTCTAGTTTTTTCATATTCCTCTACCCTCTACTATGCCTAAGCTTTCTACTGGCAGCCTATCATCTCAGTGTCAGAAACTGATATAAAACAATTACTAATACACAGAGAAAATCTAGCTGTGACAATAACCTCTTCAGCCTTTCTCTCCAATTCAAAAGCTACTGCAATAATTTTTGAAAAGGTGAAAGACTCTCATAAATAGACTAACTCAAAACTTTTTGGAGCACTGCCTGGTTTAATACATACACAGTATTTGTATCCTATAAGTTATTCTGCTTTGAACTGAATAGATTAAATATAGTGTTATGATTGAACAGGATCTTTGAATAAAACTTTAAATATGGTTTTGTAAAGAAATTCACTCATGGCTCGGCGCCTGTGGCTCAATTGGCTAAGGCGCCAGCCATGTACACCCAAGGTGGCGGGTTCGAATCCAGCCCGGGCCCACCAAACAACAATGACGGCTACAACCAAAAAATAGCCGGGCGTTGTGGTGGGTGCCTGTGGTCCCAGCTACTTGGGAGGTGAAGGCAGGAGACTCGCTTGAGCCCAGGAGTTGGAGGTTGCTGTGAGCTGAGATGCCACGGCACTCTACCCAGGGGGACAGCTTGAGGCTCCTGTCTCAAAAAAAAAAAAAAATTCACTCGCCCAGGTGCAGTGAGTGGCCCATGCCTATAATCCTAGGACTCTAGGAGACCAAGGCAGGAAAATTACTTGAGCCTCAGAGTTTGAGAGCAGCCTGAGGAACACAGTGAGATTCCATCACTACAAAAAGAAATTTTTTTTTCTTTTCTTTTCTTTTTTTTTTTTTTT